ACACACGCTATTGTTCATCATCACTCGCTTAAAAAAAATGTTCCTGCATTTTTCTTTCATTCTTCGCACAGAATCTTTTAAGTCATCATCACTGGATGCCTCAAGTGAAGACTCACTGATGGGGTGATGGGTTTCTTTGTGGCGGCTAATGTAGGTCACAGTGCAGAGACACCTGTGCATCACTGACGCTGCCTGAAAAGATGGCTACTGTCTACACACACACACACACACTCACACAGCAGTGAGGGGGTATGGTGGGTGTGGTCGTAAGCTGAATTGATGATAGTATTATTCTGATGCATGTCTACTAATGTCAAGACGACGAAAGGATATAATGGATGAACAAACACAGCCCTAGACCTTGATCTCCTGAGAATATGTTGAGGTACATATTTGGAAAAGAATAAGAAAATAAAATTCTGCACTCTAAACACAAGGGTCCATTTTTTTGTGGCTATAATCGCATCCTATTTATTTCTTTAATAATAGTAAAAGCTCCTTTATTCTGAAATTCTGCACCCTCTCACCCTCTCATGTTAATGGCTTGTGCATATGCTGCCCTAACCAGACCCCAAATAACAGACACCATATACATTACACTCATTCTTACTCTGTTCCCACTCGGACGCCTTAGTCAGCAGAAAGGCTGTAAAGGAATTTCCTGTTGAAGCCCACCGCTCCCTGGGCCTGGCGCTGTAAATGTATATGTGTGTGTGTGCTGTACATTACTAGCAGCTCTCACAAATGTCATGTACAGATCATTTCACCGCAACACAATGAGGGGGTGGACGCCAATCAGACTCGGGGAGAGAAATACGTCCCTCCTGAGGATCCATGCTGCGTCTCCTCCACCCCTCCCCCTCCCTCCTCGTAATCCATCCTTGACCTAATGCTTCCTTCTCTCTTTTTTGCCTTTTTGACTTTCTCCCTCTTTTCCAACCCCGGTCCACGTACGTTATCGATCCAAAGGTGATCACACATATACACGTCTATGTATATGTTTGTGTGTCTCTCAAACACGCAAAGAGTCAGGATGAGGTCATTGAATTGAGGGCAAGTATTATTCTCGGCACCCTAAAGGGAGAAACCCTGTAACCCCCTCTGCCTTTCAATAAGCACAAAAGACTCCCTTTGAGGGAGGAGGCTAGACTCTTATGGAATGTGTTACCAGGGTTTTCTATAACGACCGGCCTCCGAATTCACACTCATTTTGTGTGTGTGTGTGTGTGTGTGTGTGTGTGTGTGTGTGTGTGCATCCCTACATGTTTGTCCTTTCATGCAGTGTGTGTGTGTGTGTGTCCCATTTAGTGTCATGAAGTTGTGCATGCTCTTTTCACTCATCCTGACAGGTTATTACAGTCTCTGTCTGATAGGAACTTACATCTACGTGTTAACTGCATGTCCAGCATATTTTCCACTGGGCCACAAAGAGAGAAAATGCAGCCACCAGGCTGAGCGTTGATGGGGGAAGAAAAAGAAAAAAAGGAAAGTTAAAAAAGGACTCTCGAGATGCCTCAGGATTTTTCCATGACAAACCATCGCCTTTCCCAATGTCGAGTGGTGGGAACTGGCCACTTTGTTTGGATGAAGCAGTGTCTGGGAGGAATGCAGGGTTTAGCCGGGGAGGGGATGGCAGTGGGGGGAAAGCATGATAACTCCCACTCCATTCAGATTTATGGTCAAGACAGAGGGGCTCCTCTGGATGCATGTCAGGGGAATAGGAGAACGCCGCCCCTCTACTCCGGGCCTGCCAAAGCAAATGTTTGGTCGAACAAGCGCTAGCTATTCTTTACATCCGTCTCTGTCTTTCTCCTCTTTGTGTGTGTGATTCTCTCTCTCCCTATCGTATGGGAATGTGAGCAGCAGTTGTCTCGTAAAGTTTTCATACAGCACATTTGTGTCTATATTTCAACACTGTGTGTTAACAAGAGCTGCAATGGGATATAGGTTAAGTTCAAAATCTGATAGGAGTTCGCCAAAATGACTGAATTTCAAGACTGTGTAGTCGGTGTCTGCATAGGTTACATTTTGTATGAGATATTTATGAGAGTTGAGGTTTGAAAAGTCTTCCTTTGTAAAGAACAATTGATACTATTTTCACTTCCATTCCATCCAGTATCTATCTACCTATGGCTTATAGTTCTTTAAGGGTCAAGGGGAGCTAGAGCCAGTCCCAGCTCACATTGAGCGACAGGTGGGGTGCATCCTGGAGACAAACAGCCATTCACTGTCACAGTCAATTTAGATACTCTAATTAACCTTAATTTGCATGTCTTTGGTTTATAGGAGGAAGCCGGAATCCTCAGTGAAAAACCCACGCAACTCCCACACAAAAATCCCCCTGCCGGACAAGGTTTCAAAGCAAGAACCTTCTTGCAATGAGGCAGCATTGGTAACCTCTGCACCCTTGTGCCACCCACGTTTTCACATATACCCACAGTCAACACTTAGCTAAGCATAATGACTACATATAGGATGAAATAGCAATTGTGACTCTGTCGAAAGCTTGTCTTATACTTCTGAGCCGGACCAACGCAGAGGCATTGACAGGTGCTAAATCTGCCAAACAGGACCATTGTTTGACAACCTCATGGTGAGAATGATCACACAGGACGTAAAACAGAAGTTGTTGTTTAAACGTGTTATTTAGTTATACAGCAGCTTAAGATGTGATAGACCCAGATGAGCTGTGGCCTGTTTAGCCTCCTTAGCCCGTTTTGAATGTTTTTGCGAAGCTAAGCTAACTAGCTGCTGGCGGTATCTTCATAATTAGCATTTATGAGCGTCGTAAGTGCATTTCCCTTCATTTAAAGTAAGCAGGGAAAATTGCATTATAGGATAAAAACGAAAATGTAAAAAAATAATGTTAGAGGATAAGATACTTGAAGCCTTGAAGCCACCAGTGCCCTAATGCAACTAGAAGAGATAGTCTCTTGTGTTACCCTGCAGGTCTATATATTCAAAATAAGTTTTTTTAAATGACTTTAAGTTTGTTTTTATCTCTTTTTTTGTCTTACATAAATATGAGGAGGTATATTTAGTGAGGTTATATTCATGTGTTTAATCGTTTAGCTGGTTCACAGTGGGGTAGGATTTTTAAAACTATTCTTTAGAACCCATCTATTCCAGGATGAACCCAACAGACAGCACATAAAACCCTCACCCTCTGACTCAGCTGTGTCATTTCATCCTTGTCTCCAATTCTTTTTAACAACTAGACCAAACCACAGTGAATGTTCTGTTCCCTTCCGTCGCCTCTCCCCTCAGCCTCCCCCTCTTTTCATTACTGTCCCATTCATTCCTTCATTTCATTTATCCTCAGCCTTCTCCGCTGCTCCAGGACACCAGCAGACCCATTCATCTCTCCCTCTCTGTCTCTCGCTTCCTCCCTCCCTCCCTCCCTGTCTAATCAGAGGACCACACACCCCCCTCCCATCATCTGATGTCTGGTTAATTCAAGGTGAGATGGTTTTAGTGGCGAGGCTGGAGCAAATTTGACTGTGTGCAGTCATGCAAATTAGTCTGTCAAAACTTCATGGTAGTGTCCATTATTTTATGAATAAAAGTCGACACTTGTGAG